CATCCATAAAAAAAAAAAATAAAAAAAAAAGTGTCTCACACTGCTCCGGAGGGTGAACAAAGGCCTCCTATAGCGAATCGATGCATTTTTGTAAGAAAAATATCCATATTCAAAACGTAATAATCACTTTAATGTAGCTTGCGGCAGCAGTTGTACACAGAAGCAGCTCCGGGAGCATGACGTATGAGGTCAGCGCTGCGCATGCGCCGGTGAGTCTCGTGAAAACCAACGTTTGTTCGTCTGAAAGAAGAAAGTCATATACACCTAGGATGCATTGAGGGTGAGTAATTTATGGGCTAATTTTCATTTTTGGGTGAACTAACCCTTTAAATGTGCAGCGGGTGGAATAGAATATTAGCAAATGCTGCATAGTATTCAGTACACTACCTACTACCAGTATAGTGTACTACAACAAACTAAACGGGAAAACTGTGAATAAGAAATCATTACGCGAGGATGAAGGATATTATACAGCCATTATGCAGAGGTTTTTAGAGACAGACATCCTCATTCAACCAAAGCCATTGATCTTCATTCAGCTGCTTTATTTACACTCTTAATCGCGGTTCTGTTCATGCACAAAGATAAAAATGAGCTGCTGTCGTCAAAAAGGGAGGAAGAATGAGGCAGGAGGCATTTCTCAGCCTCAGCCAAAAACACACCCAACCTGCTGGAGCTCCACAGACGGCCTCCAACCATAAAACACCAGAGAGTCATGGAAAACTAAACGACTCCAGAGTTTGAGTTGTCAAGAATAGAACATTTTTGAGTCTCTCTCTCATAATTAGTGCTGTTTTCCTCAAAAAAATTGTTCCAATCAAGGCCACAGCCTTTCTGACACACACCAGTGATTCGCTACCGAATTAATCCAAGTTTTTGAACAAATCGAATGAGTCAATGATTCAATGACTCATACATAAAGACAGATACTTGCTTCGTTTCTGAATGAATCAGCTGTTTGAACATATCGGTTGAATGAATAATTCAATGACTCACTTATTAAGACTTATTATTTTTGCCGCCACCTACTGACGCTTTTAGTTTCATATTAAGATTATCATTTTTTAATTTATTTAAATTTTTTTTTTTTTATATTTCAGTACTTAATTTAATTAATACATTAATACCCATTTATTATAATGTCTCTTTAATGCTTTTCTCATTTAACACAATAATGACTTGATCTTCTGGGGTAATTTCTCAGCCAAAACTGATGTGCAATTAATTCGCTTAATTAATCAGCACATCATGTAATGACAGCCCTAGTTAATGTATATTTCTAATCATTTAGTTACTTTGTGAATAATCCAGCCGTCAGTGATTATGCTGAGTTTATCAGGCTTGATTATCCCGTGGCAGCGGCGGCTCTATAGCTGCTGGAATCTCGTGTTGTTTAAGATCAGATTTTTCACTCTTTCATCTCTGGGTTTGGCTCATTTCCCAGCTGCACGCACGACTATCTGTCCCGTTGAGTTTATGGAAACTGACGACGCTATATGGGCTATAAAAACAAGATGAGTAAATAATTCAGATGGAAAGAGGGGACAAATTCACACTCATGTCTGAACAGATTCTATATGACACCAGCTATACAACAAACAATGATAAATGAGTCCAGTTTACAGCTGCGACTAACATCCATCCAAAGACTCACATTCAGACCCATAACAGACAGAACAAGACCAGGACTGTATCCTCAAAAACACAGACTGGCTCGACTAAACTCACTATGAATATTCCACTCAAAATGCCACGTTTGCAGTGAAGTTAGATGAAGAAAAAAATAGTGTGGACTACCGGAAAATACCGAAAAGTGGCAAAATACCGGAAGTGGCGCATTTCACAGACGAGAATGTATAAAACACATTATTAGTCTCGAATGTACCAAAGCAACTGCAACTTGTTCAAAAGAATGAAAAACTGCTTTTATAATGTGCACAATTGACTAGATGATGTGGAGGTTGAACAAGTAGTTTTGAGAATTTCATTTATACGCAGAGCGTCACACCACGTGAAAGTGAAACCTGAGCGGTGAACTCATTTTCGGCAGCCGGAATTTCGGTGCATGTCTAATTATTGGCGACATCAGAAATGGATATTATATAATAGATGCTTTTTTGAACATTTTAGCAATTTAAAAATATCAAAAAATAATTTTTTACACGGCACCCCTGCTCTCGACAGACGGCACCCCTGTTGGGAAACACTGGTTTAGATTAATCGATAAATTAGTCGATAGATTAATCGAAATAAAAATAGTCGTTAGTGGCAGCCCTAGTGTGGACTTTGCTACACATTCAGTGACACGCTGTGTAGTGAGTCACAAAATCAATTAAATCTGATCATTAAATGTCACAGGCAGGGCAGATATAATCAAATGTTCAAATATTTACGTTATTTTCATTTTGCTGGTGATATAAAATGAAACAACATGGGTTTTAATTGCAACTGGAAAAATGTTAATTAGCTCATTAAGTTTCCCAAAGAGCAAGTCATTAGACGAGTTTCACAATCTTTCTTCATCTTGACAAATAATAATAATAAAACATCACTCTTTTAAGTCCTTTTAGAGGAAATGCACAAATCGAAATATTACTACTACTACTACTACTACTAATAATCACTTTTAGAGAAAATGCACAAATTTTTAATAATAATAATAAAATCTCTTTTATAGGAAATGCACAAATCTAAAGACTAATTCTACTAATAATAAAAATGCACAAATAATAATTGTAATAATAATTTAATAATAATAAATAGCACTCTTTTAGGTCTAGAATCACGTATGGATACCTCTGGGCGATTCATGATCAGGTACATCAACCTGATCTGAACGCCAGAAAACTACTAATTGGCCAAAATGCTTCGTTTGACTTTTCGGAGATCATCTGCTCTTCCCTGTGGATTACCTCTGACCTACTTCCTATACGATCTGAATTTCTGCGCATTGAATTTTAGAATATTGAATTTGATGTTCCGAATTTTCTCTTCACCTTGAAAACTTGAAGTTGTATTTTTAAAAACTGGATATTTGCAGTCGAAAAATTCGCTGTTTGAAAATACACGTCTATAAAACTCTGCTATAGAAAAATTCAGTTGCGTTAAATTTCAAATGTTCAATATTCCAGTAAAAAAAATTCAGAACTATGTTAAATGCCACATAATATTCAGTCTTGATAAATGACACTTGTCAATAATTCAAATTTATACAATGCAAATTCAAATAGTTTTGTCATATTATAAGCTCCATACTTTTTGAGGAAATACACAAATCTAACTATTATTATTATTATTATTATTAATCATCTTTATTTTATGTCCTTTGAGGAAATTCACAAATATAATTTAATAATAATAATAATAATAATATTTTTTATTTCCTTTAGAAATATAATAATGACTTTTTAAAGTCCTTTCAGTGGAAATGCACAAATACACATTTTGAATATCATCAAAAAGCTGTGAAATATAGCGGTATACTATCTTTATTGCGCAGACATACATCACCTAGTATCAGATATGAGTTGCCTAGTGTGTGTGTGTGTGTGTGTGTGTGTGTGTGTGTGTAAGTCAGCACGAGACCGGTTAATTACCTGAACTAACAAACACGGTAAACACATTAAAGCTGCTAGACACTCCATAAAACAAACTCAGCATTTTCACTGCAGGCTGAGATGAACTACATCCAAACACAATGCCTTTCTGTCTTTACAGGGCGACTCAAACACACTTTCCGCTGCATAAGCATTGCACTCAACACAAACACTCACCGTTGTACGTCACTCGAGGTTTTGTCAAGCACATGACCAGATGAAGGTCCATCTCATCTGAAGAGATAAACTTGGAGCAGACGGGGCACTTGAAACCTGTGGTGACAAAATCAAGCCAAACGACATGAGTTCAGTCCTCTCTCTAGCACGGCCACAACTTGAGCTCTTAATTACAGATTACAATAAAGAGTTTGTGGCACTCATTTCAACACCATAGCAAAAAATATTTAAACTATTTTATTTAACTATTTGAAAATAAAAACAATAAATTAAATGAGTTCATTATTAATGTAAATAATATTAAGGAAATAATGCAATAATACATTAGCATGTCTCCTTCAAATATTTTTTCAATTTAGTAAACATTGTTAAAAAAAAAAAAAAAGTCACATGTGAGTGGATTCTAAAAATAATCTAAAAAATAATAATTTTCCGGGAGAACAACAAGAGAAAAAATTCTCTAATTTTCCATGCGTGTTTTTTTTTTAATATTTTGAATTAGATTTTATTTTTATATTTTCAGTTTTCAATTTAATTTTAGTGTTTTAGTAATTTTAATGTTTTTTTTTAATCATTTTTATTTTATTTATTTTTTTGCGGCTCTACAGTTATTAAATTTTTTTAAGTTATTTTAGTACGTCAACTTTAAATGAAAATGATAAAAGTTGCCTTGGCAACTAGCTGAAATAATATAAGTATACGTTTTACATTTTATTTCAGTTAATGTTTATTTTATTTCACATAATACTTTTTTGGGGATTTGAGTAACAATAATAACCCTGGTTCACTGTTTTACCTCAAGATGGCGGCGCGTTCACACGCTGCGGCTTCTCTCTCTCCCGACAGAAAGGTGTTTTCGTGTTTTTTGTCTTGTGAATCGCAGTGTTTTTGTACGTATTCGTCGCGTCTATCTGTGACAATAAAGCAGACTTGACTTGACTTGACTTGACTTATCTTCTCTGTTAATAGTTTTTGTTTTTCTTTATTATCATTTATATTAAGGTGACTTCAAATGTCCTGCTGCTTTCATATTTTGAGGAGAAAATAAAACTGTCAATGTTACACGGATATGTTTGTGCGCATAATATAAAACAGCCTACATCCACACATTTCGAATAGTTCGATTAGTCACAGCCTTCAGTTTGCACACTGTTATTATTCTTATTTTATTATTAGCATTATTATTAATAATAATTTAATTCAATATAAAATTTTAAAAAATGGAACCGCACAATTAATTGAAATAAAACTGAAATCTTTAATGAGATATAATAATAATCATATGTATTTATTATCACTAAATTATTATTATTCTCATCTCTAATTGTTAAAAAAAATCTGTTTTATTTTGCCCTGTTTTTATTTTACATTTTAACTGAATTAATTATCCATTTCTCATCCATTGTTAATAATAAAAATAATAATAACAACAACAATTATGTATTATTATTGCTATATTACAATAATAATAATTATTATTACTACTACTACTATATTATTATTATTAATTTAACATCCAATGTTGTTATTATTATTATTATTATTATTAATAATAATAATAATAATAATCTTATATACTGCATGCACACACATCCAAGTTATAATTAGGCATAAAACGCACTCGAAGGCCTCGTTCTTTCCAGGAAACTGGTCTGGAAAAACTGGCTACGCAATCTTCAACGTGTGAGTGTGTTTCTCTGGGACGGACACAGCGGGAGCGCGATAAAGCGCTTAAAAAAGACAACCAGTGTGTGTGTGTGTTTAATCCTTCAGTAGATGCACTCACACACACACACATGCAAACTCATTTCTGAATTGCATGTGAAACCCTGAAGAAACAGACGATCAGCTGAGCAACCTGAAGAGCAGCTCTAGACACAAACAGGCAAAACACAGCTGAACTCGGACAGTATGAGCCGTTCTGTGTGTCTGGATGAACACACTCAATGACATGATTCACTGGCAGCTGCGGCGGGACGAGTCTGACCACACCTCGTGACAAAATTTCGCAGTCGGCTGAATGCAACATGCACACGGCTGTTCTGCATAAACGTGCTATTGAGGAACAGGACAGCTTTCACAGTCAAAACAAACATAAAAACTGCTAATTGAGGACCTTACAGAATCTAAAACATCATAACTGCAATTTTTGCAAAGCTGCTTTGAAGCAATATCCATTGTGAAAAGTGCTATAAATAAAACTGACCAATGCAAAATAATACAGAATATCTGTTGTTCTATAAGGACTTCATCTGGTGTCTTAAACGAGCAGAGATTCTCAAACGTTTTTTCCTAAATGTAAAATATTTACTTGAAGTGCCCCCTGAGATTTGAAGCTAATATTTTAATAATTTAACAACAACAATCAATTATTATTATTATTATTATTAATAGTTTCAATGTAAAAGGAGTTCGATGTAAAAATGGGGCTGCACAATTAACTAAAATAAAACTGAAATATTTGTAATAATGATATATTATTAGTATAATTATTATTACTATTATTAAAGATATTACATTTTTTAAAAATGTTTTATTTTGATTTATTTGTACAGCCCCTTTTATTTTACATTCAATTATACCTTTTTCCATACATAATAATAATAATAATGTATTTTTATTATTAATAAAACTGTATTATTATATTATTACTTATTTCAATTAATTACACAGCCTCATTTTTTATTTTACATTTAATTAATCTATTTTCCATCCATTAATAATAATAATAATAATAAATACATACAAATACATTATTATTATATCTTTTTTTCACTATTATTATTTTTTTATATAAAAAAGTATATATATATATATATATATACATTATTTTTATTTTTTTATTGTGAATAATTGTGCAGCTCCATTTTTTTAAATTTTATTTTACATTCAATTTAATTAATTATAACTTTTTCCACCAACTCATGAACCCCAGTTTGGGAAGCCCTGCATCAGCAGGTGATGTACAGCATGCAAAAACAGGTACACAAAGCTTTAAATGCACGCTTTAAATACGGACAAAAGCGCAGCAGAAACTCGACACCTGCCCGCCTCTCTCTCATTACAGCCGATCCGGTGTTTAATGACTCCAGAAACTGTACGGCGGTCACTAAACACTGAGCATTATTTACTGAAAACTATTACCGCTGGAGGAGCCCCGAGAGACTCTTGAGGAACAGAGCATTGACCCCTGCTGGCAAATCGCCCATCAAACCCACTGCCTCCATCTCACGACAACAATAACCATAAAAAACTCCAACAGAGAGGATATAAAGCTGCAGGCTGCAGGGAAAATCAAACTTCTCCTGTTCATCTTGTTTGCACATCTGTTTGCATGCAAGAACACTTTGCGCTGCAACAATTTCTGTGCATATTGTGTAATATTGTTTTGGCATGCTACGTCTCTTTCTTTGCTGATTGAATTATGGGGCAAATAAATTCAGACAGCATTTACCAAAAACAAACAAAAAGGCACAGATCAGCATTTGTTCATCAGGATATCCTGAATTTGAACTTTGATTTGATTTGTAATGTAATTAGAATTTTAAAAAGTAGAATTAAAAATGGAATGAAATTCAAATAATTTGTGTATATAGTTTAAATTAAATATTCAATTTTTCCCAACATATGGAGTACTTCCAGACAAATTAGATGATATTAATAACCAATGTTTGAACCCATTTAGCCATCTATTCAAGGTTATTATAGTTAACTAAAACTCATAAAAACCTTATTACTTGAAAAAACAAAAAACATTCACTGAAATAAAATTACATAAAAATCTTTAAATTTTAAAATTGTAATATAATATAATTACCATACTGAAATAACTAAAAACAAAATAAACAAAAAAACTACACAGGCACACAAATGACAAAAACTTTAACTAAAATTAAAATGAAAACAGAAAATATATATAAAAAAAAAAGATTCAAAATATTAATAAACCTACAATAGTATCTCAATGATACTAAAATAACACTGAACCTATAGGCCTCTTCATACATTAATACATAATTAATATAATCTATATTAGAGCCCGACCGATATGGGTTTTTTGGGGCCGATACCGATATTAGGGGGTTAAAAAAAAAAGGCCGATAC